ACAGTGCGAACGGTACCGATAAATCGTAGCGTGTATGTTATAAAACTGCACAGTTTCCTATACGTACGCCACGTACGATAAACTGTTCCGTGCGAACTGTACAGTCTGATCGTAACGATTTCTCGTAGTGTGTATGGCTACTATTACGATACACAAAACTGCGACGATTCGTGACGACCTTAGATTTGAACAAAAAGGGAAGATACGGGTGCATGACCACAATTCGCTTTAGACACAATTGAACATTCAAACGCGCTACATGTGCACTCAGTACGAGTATAACAATATTGCGTATATTCTATGTTATAATGATAAAACAATGCCTTTAATGTTTTTATAAAGAACACAAATAGTTCAAAATCAAAAAACAAATGACACGGCAACACTTTTCATTCGTAAAACTGAAAAAACATTGTTATATTTTATAGTTGTTTTTTTCTTAGATTACAGCAAGGCTTTTGTTATGAAATAACTACTAGAGTAATAGACGGAATACCTTAAAATTAAAATTTAATTACATATAAGGAATAAATCCTACATGTAATTCTTTTTTCATCCCACCACCTCGGAAAGTGTAATTTTGCGCTTCGAAATCTGGCTGGAAAATTCTATTTTATTCGCTTGAGCGGCAAAGTAGATTTGAATTTAGAACATCACATATAATGAGTACTCAATATAATTGTAAATTCAAAACGTCATTAAACCTATTTAATGTAACCTCTATGGTGCCAAATTTATGATTAGAACTTTTTAAATTGTGAAAAAATTTAAATTTGGAACCTTCTTGGTTTCTTTGTTTTATTTGCGTGCTTCGCGCCATTCTAGTTTTTCACGTTTTATTGCTTAATATAATTAACATAACCTAAAAACTGTACAAAAAAATCAACTAAAATGAGTGACATTAGCGACGATGAAGTTTATCTAACGCCAACTGAGTTAACTGAAACAGTTAATAATGCGCAAATGAGCCTTCTCCCTCAGCAATCACGAGAGAAGTATTTGAAACAGTACGATATATTTAACATGTGGCGACTAGCTAAAGGAGCAAAAACTTTCTCCGAAAACGTTTTGCTGGCATATTTTATAGAATTATCTGAGACCAAGAAAGCAAGCACGCTATGGAGTACGTATTCAATGCTAAAATTAACAATTAAGATGAAGAAAGACGTTCATATCGACACCTATCATAAATTAGTGGCATTTTTAAAAAGAGCCTCATCTGGTTATAAACCAAAAAAATCGAAGGTTTTCACAGCATCTGAAATTGCAAAGTTTATTAATGAAGCACCTGATTCCGTATATTTAGCGGCAAAAGTAAGTCAATACGTGTAATTTTTTGTTGTTGATAAAATTGTACATAGTACTTACAATATTTTTAATTTGATTAATTTATTTACGATTATAAATACTTCTTTTGTTACAGGTTGTTCTTATTATTGGTATAACCGGAGCATGTCGAACAAATGAACTTACACTACTTAATGTCAATAACGTATCAAAATATTCTCATAATTCTGATGAATTGCTATTAATTAATGTACTAAATACCAAGACAAAAAAAGACCGCAACTTCGTTATTCGCAAGGAATATGTAAACATTGTTCAGAAATATCAAGCTTTACGTCCTTCTAACACCCCAATTGAACGATTTTTTCTACAATATCGCAACGGAAAGTGTATCCGACAACCTATGGGTCAGAATAAAATTGGCAGTATTCCACGAGAAATAGCAACTTTTCTCGGACTTTTAGAACCCCCGTTATACACCGGTCACTGTTTTAGAAGAACCTCAGCCACACTTTTGGCCGAATCAGGGGCTGATCTTCTATCGCTTAAGCGCCATGGAGGCTGGAAGTCTAATTCGGTTGTAGAGGGATACATAGAGGATTCAATCCAAAGTAAATCAAAAATTTGTAATAGTATCGTGGAGGCCATAACGCTGAAAGAACCTCTGTCAGATTCTTGGTCTCGCCCTTCTACATCTAAAATGAGCCCCCATAAGATTGGAAACAATAGCCCTCTCTCGCCAACATTTACGCCAATAGAATCCAATGAATCGGCACAACTATTTAAAATTACTGATACGAGTAGTTTACCACAAAACAGCGCACAATTCACAAACACCAACATAACATTACCTAACAAAAATATTAAACTTAACATAAGTAACTGTAGCAACGTTACATTTAATATTTCTTAATTATTTTCTACTTCTTATTATTTTCTTCAATTTATAGATTATCTTAATGTGTTTTAATTGAAATAAAAATATTTTGTCATTATAAATTGTTTTCTTTTTCATTTTGTCATTTCCTCGCTGAGGTGGGATGAAAAGTTACGTATTGCACTCGAGTGGAAAGATTTTTCACCTTGTGCTCGTTTGTTTCCCTCGCTGACGCTCAGGATTCTAATTTAGAATCACTCGCTGCGCTCGTGATTCAACTTTAGAATCCTTCGCTTGCTCGGTCATCCAAATCGAGCACGCGGTTAAAAAGGAACTTTCCACTCTTGTATAATAAATAACTATTTCGCTTTACTATCTGAGAATGTTCAGATATGCCAGAATTCTTTTATATAAAACTAGCTGACCCAGAGAACTTCGTACCACCATAAAAATAGTGGTAGAAGAGAAAATTTTGGGTTGTATGTATTTTTTAATAGCACATTATAAAAAAATAAATATTGTCCAAAAAAAATTTTAGAGGTGTGTAACGTAGTGTTTTCTCAATTTCCTGGGATAACATTCCTCCTAACCCATATGAGAACACTACGTTACAATACCCAATAGTTTGAATTTTGGCGCGAAGGCGCATTGTAGGTTTCCGAACACTACGTTAAAAGGTGGACAACCATTATCACTTAAGGATATGAAAAATAGATAGTAGCCGATTCTCAGACTCACGGAATCTGCATATAAAATTTCATAAAAATCGGTCAGGCCGTTTCGGAGGAGTATGGTAACTAACATTGTGACACGAGAATATTATATAAGTCTAGCTGACCCAGCGAACTTCGTACCGCCATAAAAAAATAGGGGTTGGTGGTAGAAGGGCGAAAATTTTGGGTTATATTTATTTTTGTATGATGTATCATAAAAAAAATAAAAAAAAATATTATCTAAAATTGAAAAAAAAAAATTGGGGGTGGATTACCCTTAACATTTAGGGGGATGAAAAATAGATGTTGTCCGATTCTCAGACCTACTGAATATGCATATAAAATTTCACGAAGATCGGTGGAGCTGTTTCGGAGGAGTTTAACCACAAACACCGCGACACGAGAAATTTATATATTAGACTAGCTGACCCAGCGAACTTCGTACCGCCATAAAAAACAGGGCTTGGTGGTAGAAAGTTGAATATTTAGGGATGTATGTATTTTTGTTTGATGTATCATAAAAAATTAAAAAAAAAAATCTAAAATTAAAAAAAAGATTAGGGGTGGATTACCCTTAACATTTAGGGGGATGAAAAATAGATGTTGTCCGATTCTCAGACCTACCCAATATGCACACAAAATTTCATGAGAATCGGGAAAGCCGTTTCGGAGGAGTTTAACCACAAACACCGCGACACGAGAATTTTATATATTAGATAACCAAGTTTGAACGGGTTAGATGCACTGATTTTACTGCAAATGATGCGAAACGTCCATAAATAAATAAAATCGGTGCATCTAACCCATTGAAAGTTTGTTTTATTTATTGAGTGGTGTGCGTGAGAACCTAAGAAACAAATTCTTTTATAAGTCGTTAATTGGTTCCTTTTCTTCAACAGAATGCGGCAGACGTCGGACAGGGGGCGGTGGGACAAAGAGGATAGTGGGGGGAGTGGAGGCGTCGCCTGGGGACTGGCCCTTCCTGGCGGCCATACTCGGCGGGCCCGAGGAGGTGTTCTACTGCGCTGGCGTGTTGGTAGCAGACCAGTGGGTGCTCACCGCCTCACATTGTGTCGGGAAGTGAGTGCCGAAAGATCTTATATAATAATCAATCATCATCATCAGCCTATTAATGTCCCCACTGCTGGGGCACAGGCCTTCCCTATTGGGCCATGACCCACCACGCGGGCCCTGTGCGGATTGGTCGGTGCTAACGACTGCAAATGCAGCCGAACGGCTTATCGTGCCTTCCGAAGCACGGAGGAGCTCGAGATAGTAAATTTTTGGTCACCCATCCAATGACCGACCACAGCGAAAGTTGCTTAACTTCAACGACCGCAGCCGAACGCGCTAGCCACCTGCGCCATCGAGCTCCTCAATCAATAGGTTATATAGCTTTGCTGGAGTTCTCTCAGAGATGTAGAGATCCTGCAAAGTAAGGTAATTGGAACTTCAGGACTACTATCTGAGTGATAGTCCCTGGTATTGCCCAAAGAGGTACACTATCGGGCGAGCGTGCTAGTGGCAGAACAATGGGTGCTTACCATCTCGCACTGCGTCGGGAAGTGTATGCCGGTATATGTTAAAATGCAATTCAATCTTTTTCATCATTCATGACAAGTTCGCAACGAGCGCAATTGAGTTCCTGCGCGCGCCTACATCAACATACATTTCGTTTAACTCGCTAACTTGCTCCATCTTCGCAGCCGCTATTAAGTTTCAATAGCACTATACAATTAGAGCTTGGGAAAAGTTTTCTTAATCCCAATAAGGTGAAAACCAAAGACATTAATCAGTTCTTACAAACTTTATTACTGCAGAGATAACGACATCCTGCAAAATAATGTACCTTCTTAAAATTTCAGAAGGTAAGCATCCAGGAGACAAGTAGACTACCACCTGAGTTGAGCTGAAGATACTCCCTGGTATTGCCCAAAGAGGTATTCTATTGCTCAGGCGTGCTAGTGGCAGACCAGTGGGTGCTCACCGCCTCACACTGCTGCTCATTTTTAGTTGTCTGTAGTGGTCTTCTTTTGACATATCAGATATAATTGAGCTTCAGAAAAGAAGTTTAGCTTAGGCTCTGCTAGAGCATGGTTAAGATTGACTGTACACTAAACTGAATGTTAACTTGCAGCCATTCCGACGTGAACGGGTGGACTATACAGCTGGGAATCACGCGGCGCCGTTCGCATGCGTACTACGGTCAGAAGGTGAAGGTGCGTCGCGTGGTGCCCCATCCGCAGTACAACATAGGGGTCGCGCACGACAACGACATCGCACTGTTTCAGGTGAGGACACATCTATCTTGCAGCCATTCAAATGTGAACGGGTGGACTATACAGCTGGTTACTACGGTCAGAAGGTGAAGGTGCGTCGCGTGATGCCCCATCCGCAGTACAGTATAGGGGTCGCGCACGACAACGACTTCGCACTGTTTCAGGTGAGGACACATCTATCTTGCAGCCATTTAGATGTGAACGGGTGGACTATACAGCTGGTTACTACGGTCAGAAGGTGAAGGTGCCTCGCTTGGTGCCCTATCCGCAGTACCGTATAGGGGTCGCGCACGACAACGATATCGCACTGTTTCAGGTGAGGACATATCTATCTTGCAGCCATTTAGATGTGAACGGGTGGACTATATAGCTGGTTACTACGGTCAGAAGGTGAAGGTGCCCCATCCGCAGTACAACATAGGGGTCGCGCACGACAACGACATCGCACTGTTTCAGGTAAGGACACATCTATCTTGCAGCCGTTTAGATGTTAACGGGTGAACTATACAGCTGGTTACTACGGTCAGAAGGTGAAGGTGCCTCGCTTGGTGCCCTATCCGCAGTACCGTATAGGGGTCGCGCACGACAACGATATCGCACTGTTTCAGGTGAGGACATATCTATCTTGCAGCCATTTAGATGTGAACGGGTGGACTATATAGCTGGTTACTATGGTCAGAAGGTGAAGGTGCCCCATCCGCAGTACAACATAGGGGTCGCGCACGACAACGACATCGCGCTGTTTCAGGTGAGTACACATTTAGGCGCTTTGCAGACGACGGGGCGGGGCGGGCCGGTCAATTTCGCCGCGAACGCTATCGTTCGTTCAAAGTGAATCCTATATTACAAACGCACACAGAGGGCAAAAAGACCGCGCCGCAGGTGCCCGGCGGGCAGTGGCGGCGCGGCATACAAACCATGCAGTAACGCAGACGGCGGAGCCCGCTCCGCTCAGTCGGTCAGCTCAGTCCGCGCCACGCGCTTTTTAGTGATGGACTATTCACTAGAACGAACGTCCTGAACTGACTGCCTCTGCCCGTCGTGTGCTTTGTGTACGCGGCGAGGGCAGCCGCAGACATCGACGGGCAGACGCGGTTTTTATTGCTTCACGGACAAAATGCCCGCCCCGCCCCGTCGTCTGCTAAACGCCTTATCGTGCAGCCGTTTAGACGTGCACGGGTGGACTATACAGCTGGTTACTACGGTCAGAAGGTGAAGGTGCGTCGCGTCGTGTCCCATCCGTAGTACAATATAGAAAGAAAGAAAGAAAAACATTTATTGACAATATACATTAACAATTACAATACACATCAAATATAAAACAAAAGGTACATCGTCAACTAGGCCCCACCTCAGCATAATGTGGCAGCGGCAAAAATGGATTGCCGCTGCAACGCTGATATTCTGAGGGACCTAATTTGGACATCAACGGACGGAGATACAAGACAATCACTTTTACACACACATAAGTTATTAAAATAATAATAATCATCATCATTTTGTGGTACCTCCCCTATATGTATCCTGGACATGATTTTATTTTTACATCATCTATACTATCGTGTGAAGTATCGTTGAATAGATCCTTTTTAATTACTTAAGGGTTCCCAAGACTATTTTTTCGATTAAGGGATCCGAATATTGAATTTTAAAGCGCTAATTTTTGTTCAAATAAGGCTTCCGTTCTCTCTAAAAGCTAAACTATTGACTTGAAAAACCTTGAAAAAATCACAAATTTTAGGAAAAACTATAACGGTTAAGATAGATTTGTTAGTGTAAGAGTAATAGTCGTTCAACTTTAATTAAAGAAAGGAGACCCGGCACTTTTCATAGAAAAAATACTTGTATACAGTTGAATTTGGTCTCAAAATAAAGCCAAAATTATTAGCTACATAAAACTACTTTTGCCTTATTTTTAGTGAATCGTGGAAAGAAGTTATATAATGATTAATATTTTTTGATATGGAAACCCTAAATCTTCAAGGGTCAGAATTTTACTTCAAAATATTACTCAAGTGACTGTAAAAACCATGATTTCTTTGCTTTTTCTAAATAAAAAACCAAATGTCAATTTGACAATCCTAAAATACAAACAAAAAAATCATTCGCATTTCGCATCCGCTCCCGCGTACTGTGATTGTGAATGTTCTCTGCTGTGATTGCCTTTTTATCCGTTATTTCTCTTGACGACCCGGCTACATATAGAAGTTATATTGACAAACCTACGTATTTGATATTGACAGCTAGCTGCTGATGACAAATATTGCCAGACTACGTTACCCAATTATGAAACACAGATAAAAAAATTAAAAAAGTATACAACTTTGGCAAAAAATGCCGGGTGTCCTTTCTTACCTATAGAAAAATCCTTAGAAGAAATCATTGAGAGTGACATAAATGAAGTTATTGTAGCGTAAACCCTTGCATTGCAACAAAATCTAAAAAAAAACAATTTAAAAACCACTATAAAATATCATTAGTTCCACAACGCTACCGCGAGTACCAACGGCAACGGTTTCTGCATCGCGCTAACGTTACGTATTTATAAAAAGTATATAAGCACTTGAAAAGATCGGCGGTTATGCTTCATCATCCCCTTCTTTCATCATCATCATCATCATCAGCCTATTAATGTCCCCCACTGCTGGGGCACAGGCCTTCCCTATGGATGGAATAGGGAGATTGGGCCATGACCCACCACGCGGGCCCAGTGCGGATTGGTGGGTGCTAACGACTGCAGATGCAGCTGGGACCAACGGCTTAACGTGCCTTCCGAAGCACGGAGGAGCTCGAGATAGTAATTTTTGGTCACCTATCCAGTGACCGACCATTGCGAAAGTTGCTTAAGTTCAACGATCGCAGCCAAACGCGCTAACCACTTGCGCCATCGAGCTCCTCAATAATAATAGGACCAAAGGATGAGAAGTCCAGTACAAAATCAAAAACGTAACACAAGAGGCTGTGCGGGCTCAGCTCTTTGCCTACAAGATGCACAAAAATAACGGTAACACTCACTAAACACTGTACAAGTCACTAAACTATCGCACTGGAATACTTTTGTTGCACTTTGATCGCCTTTGGATTCGCTCCGAAATCGCTGTTGAAACTCAACTGTCTCTGCGCGGCGCCAATCGCGCTTATATACGCCGATCGACGCATTCTACAAAGTACCTGTTAAATTGAGAATTAGCTAGCACCCGCTAGGGGTGTCCACTCTGAAAAAACATCGATGTAATTTTTGATTCGATACATCGCAACTATATATCGATGTCTTTCGATGTATCGAATGAAAACATCGATGTACTTTAAACATCGAGTACTTTTTCTGATTTTTTTCACAAAACTCAACTTATGCGGAAAGTGACACATATCAAAAGAGGCCATGTTTTCACAGTAAAAAATGTTACTATTGAAGTTTAGGAAAAGACCTTAATCTATAATTTTATTATAGTTTAGATATTAATCTTTTATAAAATAATAGAATTAACTCCTTTCATAATGAGTAGGTAAAACGAGTAAAAGCCATGTTTTAGAAAAATCTATATTATATTTTACAAAAGACCAATTGAAAAACACTAAATAACCCGCAAAATTTTTGCTAAGTCTGTCAAAAGAACATTAGAAATATACTTTAATCTTAGTTTGTTTCACAAAACCAAAGGTTATTAAATGTTTATAAAAACATAGAAACTCGTAGATATTTTTACTGTCACTGCACTGACTCTTGGGCAGTGCTGCCAACATCGGGTCCATATCAGAGAATTCGGAATAATGATGCTTTCTTAATAGTAATAAGTAAAATTTTAGTGGTCAAACTTAAGTTTATTTTTTACTGAGGTCAAACCAAAGAGGATATTATTGATCAAACTCTATTACCAATTCGATGTTTTTTTAAAACATCGATGCATCGAGTATATTGAAAGCTTTTCAAAACATCGGATCGATTCGATGTTTTTCATTGCAAACATCGATGTTTTCGATGCATCGATGAATATCGAATATCCCTAGCACCCGCGAGTACAAAGTACCTACTTATACCTACGCAGGTAACGCGCATAACTTGTAAACAAGCGATGTCGTTGCACTTTCTCCCTTACGTCGTACTGCATAAGGTTCATTTTAGAATGAGCCGCCTTACTCGACCTCTATCGCGACCCGCGGTGCTCTGGCAAATTCAATCTCTAGCACAGTCGCGGTTCCGTTTCGAGAGCGTTTGTGAAAATATGTTGGGTAGTGTATTAATATTCGGTTTGTTTGGCAGCTGGCAGTCCGCGTGCGCTACCACGAGCAGCTGTCGCCGGTGTGCCTGCCGCCGGCGCGGCGCGCGCTGCCGCCCGGCACGCTCTGCACCGTCATCGGCTGGGGCAAGCGCGACGACAAAGACAGTCAGTATTACGATAAACTATACATCTTACGCTATTCCTGCACTTGCGTGCCAAAGCTTCTAATTTTCGAACTTTGAATTAAGTATATTCTTTTGAGGGTACATTATTGTTCTTACTGAGGGTACATCTTATATATATTACAAAACTCAAAGGTGACTGACCGACTGACATAGTGATCTATCAACGCACAGCCCAAACCACTGGACGGATCGGGCTGCAATTTGGCATGCAGGTAGATGTTATGACGTAGGCATCCGCTAAAAAAGGGATAAAATAAGGAATGAAAGTTTGTATGAAACTTTGTCAATTTTAAACCGATCGGGCTGAGACTGCATGCAGGTATAATAAGAATCATTGATGAATGTCATTGTGTATAATACAAGCCTGAGAACAAAAACTGTAGTCTACACTTCAGCTCTACACCGAAGCGAAGCGAGGACGGGCCACTAGTAGTGAATAAAATTAAACTCGGAGGCGGTAACAGGACCATTACAAGAATTGGAACACTGCGAGTTCCATCATAATCCTTACCTTCCACGGTCGTAGGTACAGATTAGTAACAAAATACTGGGATTTGTGAAAATTGCATAAGCATCCCATTAATAAATAGGTAGGTACCACCACCACCTAATGAGCGCAGAAATGGAATGAAAAATCATTCAAAAAAAGTTTTAGGTAATGCATACACTATAATGTTTGTTCTGTCAATTCTAGTGTCGGAGTACGAGCCAGCCGTGAACGAGGTGGAAGTGCCGGTACTGAACCGCGACCTCTGCAACCAGTGGCTCGAGCACCGCGACCTCAACGTCACCGAGGGCATGATCTGTGCTGGCTACCCGGAGGGCGGCAAGGATGCCTGCCAGGTATGGATATTGATGCCACTTAACTGTCTTCCACAAAAGGTCGGGTTCTGAACCACAACTTCTGCAACCAGTGGCTGGAGCACCATGACCTCAACGTCACCGAGGGCATGATCTGTGCTGGTTACCCGGAGGGCGGCAAGGATGCCTGCCAGGTATGGATATTGATGCCACTTAACTGTCTTCCACAAAAGGTCGGGTTCTGAACCACAACTTCTGCAACCAGTGGCTGGAGCACCATGACCTCAACATCACCGAGGGCATGATCTGTGCTGGTTACCCGGAGGGCGGCAAGGATGCCTGCCAAGTATGGATATTGATGCCACTTAACTATCTTCCACAAACGGACGGGTTCTGAACCGCAACTTCTGCAACCAGTGGAGAACCATGACCTCAACATCACCGAGGGCATGATCAGAGGGTGACACGGAAGCCTGCCAGGTGCAAATTATGTAACTCTGTTTAACCGATAAGGACCCAACGACAACCCACCATTCCACGTAGGGCCCTCGTGGTGAACCATGGCCCAATGTCCATTATTCCATTCATTGCGAATGTCTATGCTCCAGCAGTTGGCACATTAATAGACTGATGACGATACCTCCTTGTCCTGCACGATTCCAGAACAGTATTTGTAGCATACTTTTGGAGTAAAGCAATTATCATCAGCGGCCGGATTGTGTAGTTTTTTGGGACATCTAACTGGCGTACAATTTGAGCGTTATAAATCCGCTATATCTTGTCTTTTTTAAATAAGCCGATGATGATTTAAATGAATAACTTAAGCGTACCAGTATTTCCACTAGGCTATAGTTGTCCTCACTGCTGGATCACAGGTACGATTATTAAACTGGTCTTGATTTATTAAGAACCGATGTTGCCAGGGCGCTTCGGACGGGATGCTGCTGTACCGGGCTATATTGGTGCCAGTTGTATGTAGGAGTTTGATGGCGCAAGTGGTTAGCGTATGCGGCTTGCGATCGTGCAAGTAAAGCAATTTTTGCAATGATCGGTCATTGGATGGGTGACCAACAATTTATTATCTCTCGCTCCTTCGTGATTCGGATGCAGGTTAAGCTGATGGTTCCGGCTGCATCTGCAGTCGTTGGCACCCATTATTCCGTGGGTTAAGTGGGCCATGGTTCAGTCTCCCTATTCCTAGCTCCAGCAGTGGGGAAATAGACTGATGATTAAACTTTCTTAGTCTACGTGATCTACAATGTTTGCAACATATTTCTATGACCATTATCACCAGGAGCCATTGTATAAAATTAACGACTGTTGCTTGCTATCGAGAATAAGCTTAACTTTTACTGGGTAAGCATTGGTGTAGCCGGAAATCTTTTCTAAGGGGGCAGCAGTCCAGTTGAACTAACATTATTGCTGCAATTTATTTTCAACTTTTCAACACTGAAATTTTAGGGTGGGTAGAAAATATTCTAGGGTGCGCATTGCTCACCTTTGTCCCTCCCTAGCTTTAACTTATATGACGACCTCCGTGGCCGAGTGGTTTGTACGCCGGGTTTCATGGTGTCGCCGACTCGAGAGGTCCCGGTTCAAATCCCGGTGGGGGCAGATGTTTGCGTGACGAATACTCCAGTCATGGATGTTTAAATATGTATTTCTATATAAATATACTTATATATATACAGTATATGTATTCTATCCGTCACCCTAGTATCTCATAACACAAGCCTTATAGTGCTCACTTTGGGGCTAGGCTAATTGGTGTGTGTTGGAAATATTTATTTATTTAACTATGGCTGTAAGATGAAACTTAAGCGTCATGATATTGTATCAGGGCGACTCGGGCGGGCCGCTGCTGTGCCGCGAGGGTGGGGGCGGGTCAGAGGCCGGTCAGGGCGGGTCCGGGTCCGGGTCCGGGTCCGGGGGCGGGTCTCGTTGGTTCGTGGGCGGCATCGTGTCGTGGGGCATCAAGTGCGCGCACCCGCGGCTGCCCGGCGTATACGCGTACGTGCCACGCTACGTGCCCTGGATCCGACGACAGATCGCGCTCTACGATGACCCCGACCAGGACTGACTGGACTAACATCTCCCGGTGTCTGTCCCTCCGAACGAATGGTATGCCTGACACATGGAGAACGGTGGACGGCGTGATTCGCGTGTTCTCACTCAGATCGAGTCGCGACTGAGAAGTTACTCTGAAGGCATAGTATGCCCGAAACATTCTTCCCGATCGTCTATTGAGAACACTCCCGACCACTGAGCTCCAGCTTAATCCGCGTCTAAGAAGTGCCTCAAAGGGATGGTATGCCTGAAACATTGAGAATAGACTGAGCGATTGACCTGAGTTGTGTTGACCTGGTCGCTAATTTTTTTGGCATCTTACGACAAGTATCTTAGAGGCGTAAACTAAAGCCAAAGCAGATCAGTAAATAGCTGGATGATTGTCACTTCTATCTGTCAAAAACCGTTAGCGAATAGAACAACTGGACAGTAATGCAAAAGTCTTAGGCCCGTATTATAGAAAGATTCTCAGTGATTGATCTAGTCTTGAGCATAGTTAGAAAGGGATGTCGCTATATATATAGCACATAGCGACATCCCTTTCTGACTGTACTCGAGTAAAGATCGACACTTAGTTGTCATTCTGTAATACGGGTATTAGAGGCTGGCAAGCTGAGAGTGACTGGTGTGGCAGGTAAACCTGCTGCACCAGCTATATAGGTAACCTATCTAAAATAAAGTGTTAGAGACAATATGATGGTGCCAGAAAAGGCAGAAAATGGACTGAGCTTTCCCTGTCCAAGTATTAAAAAAAATAGATAAAAAATTGAGAGAAACGAGGCTTTATCTGAAGCGATCAAATGTCATGCAAGGGAAGCTCAATTCAATCTCGCTATATGCATACGACCTATAGTTCGCAAAGGTTACTGCATTTATATCTACCTAAAATGTTGTCAATTTCATGAAAGTGTAATTCAATCTATTTTCTATGTCTATGCTCACAACCATCTGAGCTCCAGCTCAAACTACTACTAAGCGAGTTAGCCAACATCTCTACAATACTGGGTAAATTGTGTTTGTGTTGAGGCATACCATCTCCGAACGATGTGTCTGGCATTTCATAAGAAACGATGTGTTGAATGTCCAGTTTCTGAAGTAATATACTCCAGTGTTCAGGCATAACGTAACACACACCTGAGTGATGCAGCCCATCCTGCATTTGTATTTTAGCGGAGGTATGCTCAGACGAGAGAATTGGTGGCAAATGCGAAGTCTCAGATTCGTGCTACAAGGGACTTTTTGATTTAAAAGTAAAGTGTGGAAAAAACGACAAATACGTAATGAACGTCAAAAAATGTAATGCTTGGACGGGAGAAGTGGGCGGCTGTGATGAATTTCATTAATGGAGGAAACTTAAAAATGTTTGATACGGAATTTTAGTCCTAAGTGTGTGTTTTACAAACAATTAGAATGAGCAGTAAAATCGAAAGCCAGTCTCTCGTCTGGGCACCTTGCGAAATGGCAAAATGCTTTCGGCGTATTTAAATATTATTATTATTGTGCAGAGGCATCAAAGCCTCGTCGATATCTAGCTAGACTCGTAACGACAATAAAATTTGACTATCGACAATAAATGGCTGAATATTTTTACATATCACTCGTCTATCGTGTGAAGTAAAGAAGCTGTGATAATATAAAACTCTTTATAAACGATTCGATTGTATTGTATTAACGTTGCGCGGACTGCGCCCACGCCGGCTGACTTGGCTCCCGTCTCTTACGATCTTTTATCGGCGGGAGCTCTTTGATATTGTATGTACATTTTGACTATATAGATGACGTAGGGTTCTGAAGCTTTAGCCTGATCTTTTAGGGATTTTTTAATGACGTTCCTTGATATTTCATTTCTATATTACGTGTCGTGCGTTTAGTGTCTCGTTTAGATATTAAATGTACCCATATTTGTTTGATGTTTGGTGTTAGTAGTTTTTAGAGAGAAGTGCTTTTATAGATTAATAAACTTTTCGTTTGGACGCAGTATGTCGTATGTAACGAAAAACCTCGTCCAATAGAAAACAGTATTAAGATGTAGGTAGAGGTAAAGGCAACTCTTCCCTTGAAAGACAATAATGTCAAAAGTAAGTTAACGCATGACAATAATAAACTAAATGATTAGAAACTAAATGACAATACATACCTACTATTATTAGTGAATACATTTTTTAGCGAAAACATAGTGTTTATAGATGGTAAATAGTAAATGTTAAGAGACTTAGTTAATGACAATAAACTTTTTGGAGAATATAATAGCCATTATGAAATCCTAGCGAGAGATGACAATAATCTTTTGATTTTTAAACTGTTTATATTATACATAATTAAAACGTAGATGTAAGGCTTTGTTAAGTGTCTATACAATCTATTGAAAATTGATCATGTCAGTATAATGTTTTCTTTTGAAATTCTATTCTAAAGATAGAGACGTAATAACTGGAGAATTATAATGAAGAGTCAAAGAAATTAGTAAAATAGCTTTAATAGAATCTAAGAAAATATACCTACTTAGGAATATAAAAAAAATAAACTTTTAGACTAAGGTATTATTTGTGTTAACGGAATACCATATTTTATGTCGTTAATTTACAGAACACAATTTAATAAAAATAGCTATAAACATGTTATAACTTACGCATTTGCTGTGTTACCAAAGAAAAACGATTAAATAACATAGTTATTTATAATGATTTGCTATAGATGATAGCGAACGCTATGCTCAATGGAATATTAACCGTATTTATATGTATACAAGACATAACTTAGATAAGTATTATGAATGTATGGTTGTTGACTTCTTATGAGAGTCCTTCTTATCTCGAGCTTTCTATAGTGTTATTCATAGTCGAAATTTTATATGAGATCAGAGTTATTTTAACTAAAACGATTTTAATAATATACTAAAATTATAAAATTATGGGGACTATTAATCTCCACATTTACCTATTTATATCAGTTGTGTGTTAACCACTAAAAGGTTTTTTTTTTAATTCGTTAACTTGTTATTGAAATTGAAACAATTGAAATGAATTCGGAGCACTTTGATACTCACATGAAGTCAAAATGGGGTGTGGAAATTGTATTTTTATTTTAAATGATAAAAATGGAACCACTTTTAAAGCAGAATTGATAAAAGGATAAAAGAATCAAAGTGACCCTTTAATGTTAACAGCAAAAAAGGTATTGCATAAATATTCACCAAAATAACATTTCGCTGAAAATATCAGAAGAATTTACTAAAAATTTTCATTCACCGAAGTTCCTTGATTTCCTAAAAAGGAAAAGTTTAAAAGCAGCCCGATGTCCATCCCCCCTAGCATGACTAACAAAACGCGA